CTTAAAACCATCCAAACTAAAATTCTTGCTCTTGCTTCTCTTTCAGTGTTCCAGCATTTCCCCTCTTGGGTTCCATGGATTCTCACATCTATGGCGTCTCCAAGCTCTTCTTCTCCTCCTTACTCATATTCCTCTTCTTCTCTTCTACCACCTCATTGCAGCAAAACCCGTATCCCAAATCAGGCCAAATCAACTCCAACTCCGTTCTTGTTGCTTTGCTTGACTCCCATTATACGGAACTGGCGGAACTCGTTGAGAAGGCTTTGCTTCTTCAGACTCTTGAGGAAGCTGTTGGAAAACACAATATTACCGTTTTTGCACCCAGAAATGAAGCTTTGGAGCGGGACCTTGACCCGGAGTTCAAACGCTTCTTGCTTGAACCCGGCAACAGGAAGTCTCTCCAGACGCTCTTGATGTTCCACATTATTCCTAAACGAATTGGTTCCCGGGAATGGCCTGATGAGAAGTCCGGGTCGGTAAAGCACCAGACTTTGTGGAACGACCGTGTTCACTTGACCACCAAGGGTGGCTCCGGGAAGAAGACTGTGGATTCTGCTGAGGTCGTCCGACCGGATGATGTGATCCGACCCGACGGTGTCATCCACGGGATTAAGCAGCTCCTGATTCCCCGTTCGGTTCAGGAGGATTTTAACCGGAGACGCAATCTGCAGTCGATATCGGCAGTTTTGCCCGAGGGTGCGCCTGAGGTAGATCCGCGGACCCACCGGTTGAAGAAACCCGCGGCACCTGTGCCGGTCGGCGCGCCACCGGTGCTTCCAATCTACGATGCGATGGCGCCGGGTCCATCCCTGGCTCCGGCGCCGGCTCCCGGCCCAGGTGGACCTCACCATCATTTCGACGGCTTGAGTCAGGTGAAGGATTTCATCCAAACACTCCTGCATTACGGCGGGTACAATGAAATGGCGGATATTCTGGTAAACCTGACATCTTTAGCGACGGAAATGGGGCGGTTAGTTTCCGAAGGGTACGTGCTGACGGTGCTG